TATTTCGAAATATTGAAGAATTGGTCAAAGAAGGGTGCAAAAACGTTCTTTCTAATTAAAGGGGAGCCCAGCAAAGAGCATTTGGGAACAGATGCCTAAAGCAATAACACTAATGATAGCTAGAAACTAGTGCAGAAGCTTCTATCCAACTATATTTATTTGTAAAAGAAATGCAGATGAAGGGCTTTTCCCTCTTGGTGTTTATCCAGAAAAACACAATTTAATCTAAATGAGCAGGCCTCTCTTGGTATCATTTAGATATGTGCCAGAAAATGTATTAACCTTCTCTAAAAGAGCATTGCTGCACCATCTTCTTCTCGGTGGTTGAGAGCGGTGTTGTAGATTCTTCCACTAGAAAAAAAAAACTCAGTATTTACTCATTTGGTTTCATTTGCCTTTTAATCTCTTTTTCAATCTTTAGTTAGTTATACCTGTTTAGATTTGTATTTATTTTCATTGTTTTTCTTTCCGGCTAAGATTCATTATTGATGTTTTATTTTGCATTTGTTAACTCTTTGGATCTTTTTTTTCTATCTTATCTCATTTTCCATGTTGAGATTCATCGTCTTCATCATCAACATTTTCCCTGTCAAATCTAGTTTTCTCACCATCACATGTAAGATTCTTACTTTGTTTTCTTTTAATCATCTTTAAGTTGATTATTTTTATTGTTTTTCTTTATAGTGTTAAATACATTTTACAATAATTCGCACCAGAAAATAAATCACATGTTTTCATTGTTAGAAAAATTTAAAACAAATAGTCTTAGCAGTTTTCACTCTTTATGTTAAAAAGATGTGAAATATAGGCTGGTATTTTACATACTGCCCTTTTATAGAGAAGAAGTAAATTACTGCTGCCATTTTATATCACTATAAAGTCACTCAGACATATAGGGTTTTTAAGAGAGTAGGTTTGGTGTTCAGTTTCACTTTGTATCAAGTCTGATTCTTGCTCTATGTGGTGTCAGATATAATCACATAATTCCACCAAATGCTCCATATCCTTTGTATTTTGTATTTTGGATGGTATCAAATGTTAGAGTAAAATTCCCTCTGAAAAACAGTGTTTTAGTAATAATAATCTACGTAATGAATACTTAAATGAAGGATAAATGAATTACTTAAAACTTGAAAAAACTGTAATTTGCTGTTAATGTAGGGTACAACTTTTCTTAAACTTATACTTCTCAACTTTATTTAAGGAAAAGCAACAATATTTCAATCTAAGCATTTAGTTTATCCGTACTCTTTCATATATTGCTCAAATAAATTAGGTTATTTTTAATTGGGATTGTCTCCTTTTATCTCTTTACATTTGACTATATCTATGATTATGGTAGTGGTGTTCCTGTACACGGTCACACAACTTGTCATTTCTGGAAGTTAAATCCAAAGCCTAAGAAATATAGGATGAGTACTGAAAAAAAAAAACAAAAAAAAAAAAACATCCATTAGTTTTTTTCTCAAACTGGATCTGGCATATTACATCTGCTTGTAGCACATTGGCAGTTCAGGGACAAGAAAAAAACAAAAAAAGTATAAGCTAAGCTATGTAAAATCCAACTTTATTTATATACCAACAGAACCAAAGTGCTTTAAAAAAGCAGAATTACAAACACCATTAAATGCATTAATGTTAATAAAGATTTTATAGAACAAATTAAAAAGTAAAAACAACAAAAAAATAATAAAGAAACAAACCAACACCAAAGATGATGATGAGAAAGATGAGACTTTAAAAGAGAGAAATATGGTACAAATAATACACATACTAAAAGTGCTTGATATTCAATTCAATTAAATTCAGTTAATTTATATAGCACCAATTCACAACACATGCCATCTCATGGCACTTTACAGAGACAATCAAAGAGATGATACAGTCAGATTGGTTCAAAGCTTTCAATCCAGGGAAAATCAGCTGATTTAATTGACTCATTAATTCAACTGAAATCCCTCACACCAAGCATGCATGCAGTGACAGTGGAGAGGAAAACTCCATTTTAACAACAGGAAACCTCTAGCCGAAGGCTGTGAGCAGTGTGAGCGGCCTACTAACGAGGATGACTAGGGTTAAAGAAGTAAGAACTAGACATAAATGAAGAAAAAACAAAAATAAAAAAATAAAAAGTTAAGAATGGATGATTCTCCATAACAATATTTACATTAAAAATGTTGAACATAAAGGTATTTATAACATATTTGTTATATTAAGTATGAGAAATACCATACAAAGTATTCAGGAAACTCATATGGCCTAAAGGTAAAACAGTTTGTTAAAGTAATATTTCTAAAAACATTCTAAACAAATCTATCTATAAACTTATACACACCAAAAAAGAACAATTACTGTAAAGAAAGTTTTCAGGTTATATCCTTACAACTATCAGTCAGTTGAACAACAGTAGTTTGGGTGTCTTTTGTTTAAGTTTTTTTGCGTGCGTTAAACAGTTTTATCTTTGGTATTTAAAATAGATGCAGCTCTGGAATAATTACATATTTTTAAACATGTTGAGATTAGTGTACCCGTTTGTCTGAAGCAATGATGGGTTTATACATTATATGTAGCTTAGCTGAACCTGAAATCCAGTAAAAAAAAAAAAAAAGAACTTGATTACCAGGTCTCAGGTCTTAAAAAAAAGGATTTAAGTTTAATTTGTTTTAGTATTTGCCATATCACTGGTAGGTAGTACTGGATTATCTGTGATTTCCCTACAGCAAGAATATTACTATAATAATGTTTTTCTCACCTCAATAGGTTTAAAAATAACTAATAAAAAGAGCAAAACTACTTTGAGCATTACTTTAGAAAATCTTGAGTAACATTTTATCTGTTTTTTGTGATTCATTTGCTGTTTCTTTTTAGCCTAATTTTAATGTAGTTGTCTACAACTAGATCAAATATCAAAACCAAATTATTATGTCTGTACAGAATCCTAAATTTCAGGAGCCTGTGACCCTGGACTTCCTTGATGCAGAGCTGGAAAATGACATAAAAGTTGAGGTAGTGTATCCTGACAAATGAATCACTGCGGGTTAGTAAAATCTATAAAGATTAATATCTGCATGATGAAACACAGTTTTGCCTGAACAAATTCTCAGTCATTCGGTTCATGTCAGCCACAAAGCAGGCTTTAACCGAATACAACCAGACTTAGTTTTTTTCTGGAAATATTTCAGCACCTATCAAGGAACGTTTGTCAGTTCTGGTGGTGAAACTCCTAGATTGGTGTCAAAATGTTTTCAGAAACAAAAGAGCAATGTGTAGTTGCTTCAAGATTTAGACTATTTTGTGGAACACAGCATAATATTTGTATTTATTTTGAAACATATCATGATCATTGACGGACACAGTGACTTTTGTAATTCCTCTTTTTATCTTTTGGTTTGCAGATTAGAAGAATGATGATTGATGGGGAGATAGGAGAAAGAACTATTGACACTTTAGTGAAAACTCAAGATGAGGTAAGAGGTTATAAAGAAAAGTGCTTAGTATGAAATGTTTCTATGAGATATTTGCTGTTTTAACATGATACAAGATTTTACTTCACAACAAACAGACTGATAGATAAGAATACTTTTTTATATTGCTAAATGTAACACAGAGCTAGTACTCCCCTGTTAAATCAAAAATCAAAATTTTGACAACTCCTGATGCATAATTAACTGTTTCAAAATGATATATGAGTTTTCAAAAAATGTGAGAATGAATCAGATGCATAATGTTTAGGACACAGTGTTTTGGTCTAAAATGCATGTTGACTGGGGCAAAGTCATCTGCAAATTTCATATCAGTTTAGTTTCATTAAAAGCACTGTACAGCTGAAATTATTGTAAAAGGATTTGTGTAATAGCTTTTGTCTTTTTTGCTTACAATGTCAAAGAAACTGAGAGAATAGTGAGCAATCAATTGGTCTCTCATGTAGAAAACCTTTGCTAAAACGGGCCCACTTTAATCTTATATAGATTATCAAGAATCTCAAGGCGATATTTTCAGTTGTATGAAGGTATGACATGTGATGAAGCACCACAGGATAAGTCTATTGATATGGATGTTTAAGAAATTAATAAATACTCATTTCATCAGCTGTGGTTAAATAACTTGTTGCCACCTATGAGCTGATCACCCATGCAGTAATTATCCAGGTTTTTATAGATTTGCTTAATTAATCCAGGTGGCAAACTTTTTAGCCAGGCAGTGAACAGTGTTAGGATAATTCTTTGACAGTATGAAAAATACATGCACCCTGAAACATGGATGACTTTGGTTTTCTAGTAACCAGAGAGGGTCAGCTTTTATCCAACTTCCAATTATTTTCCAAGGGGACCTATGCTGTATGTGCAATATGTCTGATTGAGGAGTCCACAGATTGGTTTGGGGAAAGGCTGAAGTGAGAGAATTTTCACCTTACATTACCCTGATTATTCTCACAAAAGGTTTTCTAGACAGGGTCATATATTTGCAATGGCTTATTGGGAAGAAGAGACTCAGTCTCACAGGGCTTTGTTGCTGCTTTGTTTTTCAGTCATAGCTGTGTGCCTGCACCTTTTCAATACTCCATGTGTATTCAACAAAACTTTTTAAATTTAATCTTAAAAGCCAAGTTCTTATTTCATTTTCATGGAAGAGAAAAAATGTATTTCTTTCTTATAAATTGTAAAAACATCGGCAATTGTAATGTTGCCAGAGTACGATTAAAGCCTCATAATTAATTTCCTTTGCTAGCAATTAAGAGTATTGTCATTTTGAGTCATCTTTGAACCATTTCCACTGTCCATTTCCATCCATTTTCTGTCACGCTTATCCCAAGCGGGGTCGAGAAGGGTGCTGGTGCCTATCTCCAGCTGTCTACGGGTGAGAGGCGGGGCACACCTTGGACAGGTCGCCAGTCCATCACAGCCACTGTGCTCTTCCTTAATTTGACATTTTAAAGAAAATGTTTGATATAAAAAAAAAATCATACTAGTTTGTTTGACTTCAACGTAAATCAAATTTAGTCATTTAAAGCCGATAATATTAATCAACCCTGTTATATTAATTAAACTAAACTAAACTAGCATAGTTAACCTTAATTGGCACTGGTTAAATTTACCTTCACAGCACTGTTATAAAAAATTATGTCTACAATGCTACATCTAGGAATCTTACTTTGTTTGTCTTTCCTTTATATATATTATATTAAAATAATGTATATTTATAGAGATATTTTGCTATTAATAAACTAAGTTGACATAACTTGGTTAAGTAAAGTTAATATGATGCAAAGTTAAATAATCACACATCTGGTCGAAAAAGAAAACAAATAAAGACATAAAGAACATACCACAAAACATTCAGGTTAATATCAGCCTGCTTGAAGATTAGTCAGTTTAGTTCAGCCCATTTCAACTCATGGAAAATTGTTTGACTGGCCATTATTTTATTTGGTTTCTTTTTTTCAAGAGAAAATACAATTTATTTATTGAATATTTGTAAAATAGAGCTGACAAAAGTCACACAAGGGATCTCTACACTCGACCTTATTTAGTGATAGAATCCAACTTTGCAAAAATGTAATATTTGGAACTAATATATATTTTCAGACATAACCCTATGCAATGTAATATTTGGAGCACAGTCAATACATTTACCATGTATTGTGATTGAATTAATGTATTAATTTATGATTGAAATATTCATTAAAGTCTAAAAAAGATCACAGGATTACAAAGAATGTTCCTTGGTTTTTATGAGAAATCCTTTCTATAATATGTTAATATGTTGTTTTCTATTGTAAGAAATTGCCTAAAGTAGTTTGTGTGTTTAATTGGCAGAGATATATAGACAGAGGGGTCAGAACCTACACATGGGCTCCAGTCAATGAAACAGATTACAGGTAAGGCAGAGTGACTCCAAATTACCAGGTTTTCTACATGCAAACTGCAATGCTGTTATCTATTTAGATTGAGTATACCAATTTGAAAAGCATAGGCTCCTGTTTCTATGAGTGAATCTGCTCCTCTCTCTCTCTCACTCACTCTCTCTACATATACTGTTATATACATATACATACATAAATCTATATATATAT